AGTGTGACTCAGATGTACTTAAAGTTTTACTTTTGTATGCTTTGATAAAGCTACTTTGTAAAAGGATTGGAATCTTATCCAAGCTTATCATGTGTAATTATTATGTCTGCTGTACATCCTCTATATAAGGAGGAGCTCTTGCCATTTGATGGCAGATCAAACCGAATAAAAAACTTGTGTGTTTCATATCTATCATGAGTTGTTTCTAAGTTACTCTCTCTGAAAGCTTTATTTATAATGAATATTCACTAGTCCCTGACTAGAAAGAAGTATGCTCTGCACTTGCCATCTTAATGGATCCTGTGCATCAGAAAATTTCTAGGTGAAAGATCCTGTTGCTACGGTCCTCTTTATTATGATTCAGGAAGGATGATCAGTATGAGTATAAGAAAAATGCATATGGGTTTGCTCAAAGTATTAGAAAGTGTTGATAGTTTCTTTCTGGGTTATGATATAAGAGGCTCCCGACCAGTAATGGTATCAGAGCCTTCAAATTATTTGATGCTCATATCTTCAGGGTTTATCGGCTGGACAACTGACAGGCACCTACCGAAGAAACTGTTCTTACAGTTGCCCCTGTCTGTAACAATGCCACGAACTCGTGTATTTATTCAGAGCCTAAAGTCTCTGTTGAAGAAGGGGATAAGTGTGATAGTCATTATAAATAAAGTAAGTAAGAGTTACCACAACACCATGAATACACCCACAGATACTTCTTCTACTGAAATCTCTCCTATTCTCGTAAATTCTCCCATTTCATTTCCTAAAGACTGTATCAGAACTGCTTCTGATAAAATAGAAAACTTGATAGAATACACCTATGTTCCTGAAGGTGCTCAGATTCGAGAATCCATAGCTCCTCTGTTAAGTCCTTACAATGTCTTCCGAAGAAAAAAATCCTGGACCAACAAAGTGAATTTGTTGATCCTTAGGAAGCAATCTCCCATCAAAGAATACGTCCAATCCACCAGAATGGACCAGTGTGAGATATCTGCTACAAAAGAAGAAAGATACATCAACCTTGAAATCCCTAAAACTTTCATAGATCATTGGAAGACTGAGGGATACTCTGCTCTGCACTTTGGAGCAATAAGATTAGTCCTATCCTTGCATGGAAGGAAGAATCTCCCAGTGACTGCCAGAATCACTCTCCTTGACTCCACCTACATCCACTATGAACATGCTGTTATAGCAACACTATTAACCACCCTTCATGCTGGAAGTGTGGTCCTCACCATTTTTCCAAATTATAATGTCTCTTTAAGAGATAAAACTCTTCCAACCAGAATGAAAGTTCAGATCCAGCTCACTGGAGCTTAACAAATTGAAGAAGCCATCACAGCAACTCATCATCATCAAATGATCTACAGGTTACAAAACCATGCTCATGACCTTCCTCTTCCAGGAACAACAAATGATAATCTGTTTGTCATAGCCAATAGAAGTGAAGATGATGTTTCTTCCATCATCCAAGTTCCCAGGCAAATTCCCAGAGAAGAACTTCTCAAGTTAATCCCGTTTGAATGGACAATTAACTATGAGAAGATCAGGCAAAACAATAAACCAATCCAGTCTTTTGAAGCCACTTTCAGAAGATCTGTTGATGGTGGTGTTAGAACTATATTCAAAAAGCCTGAAGAAGAACCAAGCCCTTCTTCCAACTGTTTCCAGTCACTTATGGTTATTCCTGTTGGGAAAGAACATAGAATCCCAGTATACAGCTTTAAACCTGATGGATCTTCCATCTATTCTGACAAATTTGATGGACACTTCATGTGGGATGTTGATCCTTCTATGTGTGATCCTGACTGTGACTGCTGGATGCATATTGGTGATACATCTGATGAAGAATCAGATGATGATGATGAAGATAATCTATGAAGGAAGAAAAAGAAACCTTGCAAACCACCTCCTAAGCCTAGGAGAAGAGACCCTGGATTTACTCCATGGGTGGGAATCAGGCATGAAAGAAAACTTTTGCCCATCTATGATGAGGCTTTGGAAATTTTAAGAAAAGAAAACCTGCTGACCAAACCTCCTTGTGATCCAGATCTCATCACATGGCCTCCTCCTCTAGGATTGTGCAATTCTTTCAGTGCACCCCTTGAAAAAGTTGTAGCTCCTATTCCCTGTATGATGTTTACCAAGTATGATGAAAACTTTCCTTCTTTGGAAAGAAAAGTGGATCTAGTCACTAAGGTCAACACTCGGCCTTTAGTGATACCTTTAGAAATACAACCAGATGGAACTCTTAAGGCTCCATCTCAAGCTGAAGAAGTTCTCAATTGGCAAACTGAGAATTCTTTAGCCCAAAACCAACTCTTGAAAAAGATGGACGGAAAGATGGACCAGATTGTTGAATCTGTCCATAAGAATGATGAGAAGCTCCAGTATCTTTCTGATAAGCTCAGAAGATGTTACAAAGAATCTCAAAAGCAGATTGCAAAACTGGACTTAGACATTTCAAGATTGACAGAAGAAAAAGTTGTCTTCACCGGAGAATATCACAAAAAAGATAGAGAAATCAGGAGACTCAAAGAACAAGTAAAACAAATGGATGAGTTAATTGCTGCCAAACAACAGAATAGGGAAGCTGAAATAAATCCCTTTCTAGTTTCACCTCCTGTGCAATCAAGTTATTATTCTCCTTTTAGTCCATCTCCCTTCTACCAAGGAACTTTTACAGCACCATCATATTCCTTACCCTCTGCTTATAGACCTAAACCTAGGTCTTCCACACGTGATTCTAAGGGAAAAGGAAAGATGAGTATTTCTTCTTCAGAAACTATCAAGACAAAAAGTTTAGACTCCTCTGAAGAAGAAAAATCTCCCCCAAAAAAATCCTCAAAGGGAAGTCAAGAAAGAACACCTTTTATAGGAGTGATATTTGAAGAAGAAGAATTCAATTCCTCAGATACTGAAAAAGAATCTCAAGAATCCTTATCAGCTGAACAGGATTCACATGAAGAATCCCATGAATCTTCAACAGCTGAAGAGTCTTAGAGTGAATCAGAATCACCAGAAAAAAAATCCTCTGATGAAGAATTTACAGATATTACTGAAATGCTGATGGTCAATACAGCACAATCTAGCAATCAAAGAGGATCCTTTTATGATTCACCTGATGAAGAGGAAGAAACCAGTAGACAAGAGAAAAAAGGATCAAAATTTAATGGAGGTCCTTATTTTACTCTTGATGACGTCTCTCCAAAACACTGGAGAAAAAGATTACTTGATTTTGGAGCCTAGTTAGATACTCAGTTCATGAAGTTAGATGCAGATCCATATAAAGTTATTGAAGAATTCTGTTGCAAAATGACTGGCACTCTAAAGGAATGGTATCATAATCTTGGCAGTGTCAAACAAGACCAGTTTCATCAATTGGAAAATACTCGCCAAGTTCTTGGAGCCATACATCAAGAATTTGTAGGAGACATGGATCTTTATGACAAGAAGATCAGGCAAGATTATTTTGAGATGAGATGCTGTTCATTGAAGAAAAATGATTTAGAAAGACATCATAAAAGAATGGTAGAAATTTTCTATCTTCTCAATGGATATAATGATGTCAGTCTAAAAAATACTTATGTTGCTTCTCTCCCTCAAGAACTACAACCAGAAATCCACAAACTCATTGTTGCTCAAGGACAAGACTTAACCAGTCTAAGCCTTGGCCAGATCCACCAAAAAACATTGGAATCTCTTGATAAATTGTGCAGGACACATCTTTTCATCTCTGATGTGATGAATGAGAGATCAAAGTTTACTAAGGCCTACAAGAAAAAATACCTTGAAATTGGATGCAAAGAAAAGAAATGTGTCTGCTCATCCAAGAAGAAAGGTACAATAAAGAAATTCTCAAAAAAGAAGAAGAAGAAGATGAAGTACTTCAAAAAGAAGAACAAAAGAGGAAAAAATAAAGGAACCAGATGCTTCATTTGTGGGAAAAAAGGGCACTTTGCCAAAAAAATGCCCTAACAAAGATGCCAAAGCCCAAAATCTGGTAAATTCATTAGATCCTATTGAAAGAGATATTGAATCCGAATATTCGGAACAAGAAGAAGCTGATCAGGATACTGTCTTTGCTATTCAAGAATCATCTGATGATTCTTCAGATTCATCAAGCAAAGAAGAAGAGTACATCCCTCTTTATTTTACTCAAGAAGTAAATAGTGTCCTTCAAACTCCATCACAACCCTGTGTCGAGGTTCAAGTTCTTATCAACAAATATGCTGCACCAATCAAAGCCATAGCCTATATGGATACTGGAGCACAAAGAACCATGATGAATCCAGATATTCTTCCAAAAGAATGTTGGACTCAATATACAACTAGTTTTGTTGCAGCTGATGGAAAAGTCTTCAACACCCACTTAATCTCAAGAATGCCCATTGGGATTAAATTGTTTCCAGATTGCATAATCTGGATCAAGCCTATAGGAACCCATCTTCCTGACAAAGACATTCTGCTTGGAATGGATGCTTACTGTCTCACTGATAAACTCCAAATTCTTCCCAGAGGAATAAAATTCAAAAGAAATTTCAAGCCCTACACAGATATATTGAAGCTTTATTCTCTTGAAGAAAGTTCAGCAGAATACTCTGAACTTAAGAAGAAACTGAAAACTTTGTGTGCAGATGGACATGAGAATTTCTTTCATCCCAAACCAATTTGGAACAATCCAGAATTTTTCATAAGGCTTCCTTTCAAACTTAATGAAGACATCAATCCTACTAAAGCCACACATCCTGGAATGAGTCCCAGTGACCTCCATATGGCCAGACAAGAATGTGCTGAGCTTCTTCGTCAAGGATTGATTGAACCAACTAAATCTGAATGGATATGTGAAGTCTTCTGTGTTAAAAAAAATCCGAGAAAATCAAGGAAAAAAAGAGGTTAAAAAATCAAACTTTCAGAATTAGTGCAGCATATTTGTTCGACACCGGTCACATAATTATATTCTTCTTTTATATTATATTAGTAAAAACCTCTCGAACTGCTCTGAAATATATTTATATTGTTTTATACATCCTCCATAAAAGAAGGGGTCCCCACTTCGATTATTTGCAGTTGCAGATGTCGTATTTAGCAGTTCTATAACAGGAAAGTTATCGCTTGTAGAAGTGATCATTACTATCACAAGCAAGAGTTGAGACTTTTGGGGCACTGCGCGGGAAGCAGGAGCAGAAATAAAGAAAACGCGATTGCGAACGCTAACCATATAGCAAGAAATTCAACAATTGGTGTGGTTGTGGGCATTCGCAAAAGTGAAGAGGATGGCGGTTTCCGTACCCAGCGTTGACGTTTATGTTGATGGCGCTGTTGACTATAAAGGCGAAGGCGTCATCAGATCCAAATCTGGTTCTTGGAGATCCGCTGGGTTTATCATAGGTAAGGCGCAGTGGATTATTGAATTGAATTAAGTTATAATTGAGATTAATGATGTGATTTGATGATTAAGGTGTGGAAGTGGCGGAGAGGATTGCATATTATGGGATTCAGACGAACCTGATATCGTATCTGACAGGACCACTCCATCAGAATACGGCCACCGCAGCTGAGAATGTGAACCTTTGGTCGGGAACTGCTGCCTTGCTTCCTCTCGTTGGAGCTTTTCTCGCCGATTCTCTTCTCGGACGCTACCGCACTATAATACTCGCTTCCTTCGTCTATATTTTGGTTCGTCTTTCTCCCCCCTAACTATTTACTCTTCCCTGCCTCTCATTTTACATTTCACTTCAATTGTTAATAATCTTATTGATTAATATAATCATATAAATTCATTTTATTAATTTGATAAAGTTATTGTAATAATTAGTTGATAATAATTGACTTAAAATTAATGGTGGGCCTTCGTAATAATTGAACTCTGCTTTTGGATTACATGCCTCTCTTGGATGCTATTATTTGGAGTGTAAAAATGGGTAGTCTGTTTCACCAATCTAAACAACCTGACATATAACTTGTTGGATTTTAAAATTTAAGATTAATTTTTATTTGTTTAAACCTTGCTCAACTTTGAATTGAATGGTCCCCATGGGCTAAGCTTCCAATGGATTGGGCTGTTTCTTGCCTTTTTTTGTTAATTTTTATACATGTATTTAGTTGGATTTGTTTCTTATATTCATTGATATTGATGTTAAAAATAATAATATATAGAAATGTTTAACAATATAAGACATTTGAAAGCGTTGCGTTAAATTATAACTACATTGAATATTAAATATCGATACAATATAATCATATATATATGTACTGATTTTATTTTATTTTCTGGGTTGTTTGCTTTTAAATTCTTTTTATTCTCTATTTTCATTTTCAATAATTTATTTCCATTTTCTGTTTTTATAATTTAAAAACATGTTTGATTGTTTTGTTTTTATTTTATCTCATTCCTATCTCTAGTTACCTCACTTATATCCTTCAAAACATGCCAAGGATAAGCTCTCCCAAATAACAATTACAGTCGATTAAAAGAATGCAATCACCATCATCCAAAGCTTATCCAACTCCTAACAAGTTCCAAAAACAACCTCTTCTCCATAAACCTATCTTTCCAATAAGCTTTTCCTTTTCTCTTCAAACTAATTTGCTTCGGACATCAACAGGGCATGGACTCCAGCTTCTTACAACACCTCTTACTCCAATAATAATATTTATATTATCATACCAAATAATAATCAAATTATTCAAATAAATTTATAAGTATATGAAATGAGATATCATAATTAGAGTTAGTATTTTAATAATTTTTTATAAAATATAAATTTATTAAATTTAACTATTAAATAATGTAATATTAATATATTCTTTATGTAAATCAAATTTTAAGTAAATTAGATATGCATAGATACGTCATTTTACAATTAACATTTACTTGCATTACACATTAATATATTTATATAAAATCTTTACTCTAATGGTTTAATTAATACATACTTTAATAAAATATTAATTATTTTTTCTATAATATCAATAATCAACAATAAATTTACTACAAATCATAACATTTAGAGCCCGTTTGTCTGTTTGGGCCTTATGTCCAGCTATAGAAGTATGACATGCTTTTAGAACATTTTTATGACCAAAATAAGATGAAAATAGATAAGATAAGAGTATTAGATAATAAACTTTTATTATATCTAATGTTTGATGCAAACTTAATAGAAAAAAATGATATAAAATAAATATACAGAGAATGACTTAATTACTCTTTTGTTTACATTTATTAAATTAAAATTTAATTTTTTTACTTTACATAAGTTATTTATTTATTTTATAGAAAATATATAAATAATTTAATTATAAAAATAGAAAGGAGAGATAAGAAAAAAAAGTTAAAAATATTTTTAAGAAGATAATTGTTATTATTATTTTTAAACTTAATCATATTTAAGTATAAATTAATCATATCTTGTAGCTCAATGAATACTTGATTAAGAATAAATATAATATATTATAATCCCATATCTACCTTTATTTTCGTCACCAAACTCTTATTAATAATAAATTATATTCTTGCAAATTTTTTGAAAATGGAAACGTTTCATTACTTTTTGTTTGGGTGGAATTTGATACTACAGTAGAAAATCTCAAGTTTTTTTTGCCCTTTTAGGGTTAATTTTAAAACAAAATACTAAAATAGGGCTTCATGTAAACTGTGAGAGTGACGTGGCAAGAGAGTCGTCCATAACAGGGACGACACATATGATGACGTGGCAAACTGTGAGAGTGTTGTCCCACCAGTAGCTGACACTCATGACAGTGTCATCCCATTATTAGACGACACTCATGAGATGTTGACACGTGTCGCTCAATGAAGTTGTGTCGTCTATTTTTGGACGATTTTAGTAGTGTCTACAACAGAGACGACTCCAGTGCCAGTCCACGATACCCGATTTTAATGTGACCAGTAGATAAAAATTTGGATACATTTTTTTATCTAACTTTAAATGTGTATAAATATGAAACTTTCACATTGTAACCGTGAAGCTGAAGATCGAATAGGCTGGAGAAGACATTGTAACTAGATAGGCTGGAGAAGAAATTGCAAGAAGAGCAATAATAAGGTTAGATTTTTTTAAGCATTATAAATATATAATTTTGTTTATTGGCTATTAAGAATTTATATTTTGAATAATAATATTTATTTTTATATTTGGATAATATTTTAAGTGTTAATGTTGTAATATAATTTTTTTGTTATGTTTGAAAATAAGGCAGATAAAATATAATGTTAAAAAAAATTTAAATATTTGTAATTATAAATAAGTTTTTAAATATAATTTTATTATATTATAAATTTGGCTTATTTGTAATGCAGGATGAATGAAATTGTTGTTATATTATATTCAAATGGTAGAATATATGAAGGAAATGAGGGTATAATTTTTGAAGGAGAGAAAAAGATGATTAAGATAGAACGTGGCATCACACTTGAGATGTTTAAAAGGAAGATGCACACAAAATTGAAATTGTCTAGTTGTCACGTAATTTCTAAATTAATTTCACGAATTTTAGTTGGGACAAATGGTCGATAGCATACAACATGTGTAAAGTGTTGTCTAACCAACTCAACTTCAAACTACTCCCATAAATGCATCATCAGGTGGCTTAATACCAAGCAAGTCCTCCACAATTTGTGCCTTATTACCTCCTACAGCTGCAATGACTGCCTTTTCATCTATACGAAGCCCTATTTGAATAGCAATGTCCTGAAGAGTTACAGTACACTCTCAAGAAGGCATGTGAAATGTATGAGTCTCTGGCCTTCATCTTTCTACCAAAGCTGTAATAAGATGTTGGTCAATAGGAAAACATGCCAACTGAGCTACCCCAGCAAATCCAGCTAAGGTAAGATGAGGAAGTATCTCCACTAGAACCCCTTCCATGCCAGCCGGTATGAAATGACTCCTTCTTACCTTCAGAATTGAGTGGTCACGTCCATCCCAAATATGCTCCGATACGTGAACAGACTGATATCTCAATAATGAACCATCCTCCGGACCAGGATTTAAAACCCTACTCCGCGATAAAGATGATGCCATCTGAAATTAAATTTATCAACTTAAACTTAAATTATGTACGTTCAAATTAATAAATACCAAATTCTATTCATTTTATCATTTTATTATTCATTATTAGTACATGGGTTTTATTATAATTATTTAACTCTAACAATTTCAAATTTTCAAATTAACGTAAAAAATTATTTCATTTACTTATTATAGTATTTATTTTTATTAACAATTTAACAACTTTTATATATTATTTTACAATTATAATATGTAGCAATAAATATTATTACATGCACTCTATTAAATATTATATATAATTTTTTTACTTTAAATTATAAACAAAGTGTACTTTCATGCACTAAGTTCACTTCGTATATCAAATTTTACAATTACAAAAAATAAACAAATACATAATTTTATCACACTTACATTTTTTTCTGTAATTCTTCATATTAAATCATAAAATCATTATTTTTTTTAATTTCATTAAAGTGTTCCCTCACAATAGTTAAAGTTTACTCCTATTTAAAGTTTAATTTCATTATCATATTAATTATTAAAAAATTTAAATGGTTCAATAATTACGATGGATATATATGTAAAAAAAAAAAAATTGTTTATTTTATCTTCTAAAAATTCTTATATTAAAGGTTGGCAAAAAAATTACATTCAAAGATGTTTTATTTATAAAATCCTTTCAGCTAAATCAAATAAATTATAATATTTGTAAAAGATAATAATTACTTATTTTTTAGCAAATTAATTACTATATTCTTACTTAAAGTAAAACTTCTGTTATGTTAATTTTCATAATATCATTATTTTTTAATTTATTATATTTATTCAATAATTATTTTGTTTCTTAAATCATAATCTTTTTTAAATATGTAATGTTTTAAATAAATTTGATGACATAATTATTTTATTTTATTGCTAATTTTTTTATGAATATAATATTTAAATTATGTTTATAATTATTTTCTTTTCATATTTTATCTATTTTATAATATAATTGTATATGCTCTTTTAATAAAAATATTGTATTTACTATCTAATATTTTTTATTTCACTCATTTCTTTATATATCAATCTACTATTAAAATCTGAAAATTTATTATTTCTTCTACATTAATTATTTAATATTTTTACTGCATTCTATACATATTTTTTCATTATCACGTTTTTTTTAAACTATATATTTCTATATATTATTCTTTCCTCTTAATTTTTCAAATTATTAAAATGTAATTTTTTTAATAATTAATACATATTATGGATTACGATAATTTTTATTTATTACATTTTTAAACAACTAATTATAAATTAAATTATATCTATTATATAATTTCTAATACAATTTATCTAAAATTTTATTTGTTACAAAATAAATTAATTAATTTATCAAATATTTAAAAACTAAAATTAATTTGTGCACCTCTGCAGCTTTGAAATGGATTTGAAGGAACCGAGCTCCACTCACTCACGACCCAAGCACTCACCCACGATTACCTGCACCACAATCTCAATATTACATACATGCAATTTCATATTTAAAAAGTTAAATATATTCAAAATATTTGTCTCATTACCTTTTAATAATTTTTGGCTCAAAAATCTTAATACACCAAGCCAACAAAATGCTATTCAAACGCTGTATTTTTTCCGGCAACACAAATCTCTCTACAACCAAAACGCGAATCAGAGAAGATGAAGGGGAAAGGGAAGAAAGGAAGAAGTCTGCGCCCAAACGGTCAAACTTTTCTGCCACGTGGACCAATGAACAGAGTGTCATCCCTGACCCAAACGACTCTCTTAAATCGTCCCTGACCCCACCGACACTGAAGTCGGCTCTGACATAGACGACTCTCTACGATTTATACACGTGCCTTCGTTCTTCCTCACCCGTCGATTCATTTTTAATTTTTCTAATTTTTTTGTGTGTATTTAGTACAATACGTGTATCAGCTGTTACCCAAATGACTCTCTTTAATCGTCCCTGACCCCACCGACACTGAAGTCGGCTCTGACATAGACGACTCTCTACGATTTATACACGTGCCTTCGTTCTTCTCCACCCGTCGATTCATTTTTAATTTTTCTAATTTTTTTCTGTGTATTTGGTACAATACGTGTGTCAGCTGTTAGTTGAACGATTTTGCTTTTTGGTGTCATCCCTCTTCTAGATGATTCTCTTGCCACATCACCCCTAACCCCAGACCGAGAATATGTTTACATGAAGTCCTGTTTTGGTAATTTTTTTTAAAACTATCCCTAAAAGGGTATGAAAGCCGAAATTCTCTTCCACAAATCACCGTTGGCGAGTTTCTAGCAGCTAAAATAGATGGAACGTGGTAACAAAGACTCTAACAAATAATTCTCTCTCTTTTTAAGCAAAAGTTGCCATGTACAAATTTGGATAGGCCATGTCAAAAATACTATTTTTTTTCCATAATCAATAAATGTACCATATTTAAATTAATTTTCTTTATCATTATAGGTGTTTTATTATATTTTTCTAAAATTAAAATTAGGGTTTTACCTTTGTAATACATACGTCAAATGTCAGCATTAAATGTCAAATGAGAAATCCTAGATAATGATGCACTTTAATTTTATTTTATAGAAATAAGAATAAATAACCAAACATATTTTGTTATTATTTTATATTTTCATTAAAAATGGAAATAAAAAATGATAAAAATAAACAACACCTCTACTGAACCTCTGCTTTGTGATTTTTTTTTTAAAGCTAAGCTACATTTTGTTCTTGTGATGCTTTTCTATGTTTTGATATTTTTATTTTAACATCAAATATTTCTCAAACTATCAATTATATTTTTAATTATCATCTATTTAGATCGATCTCTTATATATCGATTAATATTTAGTACAATATCTCTCAATAAACTTGTTATATGAATTTTTTATTAGCTTTATATTGATTTTATAAATATGTTTATTGACTTTCCGTGTTCGAAATACTGTAAATTTTTAAATTTTCTTGGTTAATTTACTAACTATAAAACATTTTATTACAAAAAAAATCAAAAGAATAATTCAAATATTATATGTGAAAAATCAGCAGATAGTAGAATTTACAAATAAATAAAAAAATTAATGTTTTATATGAATTTTTATATTAAATTTAATTTTAATATATAATAAAATAATAATAGATTTATAGTTTATATAAAGTTAATACTTTTATTTGACCTTTATTTAAAAAAATTGTAAAATAACTGCAAAAAATTTTAAAAGCAATATTCAAAATGTTGGGAACAAAAGATGTCAACAAGAATATACATAAAAGAATTGAGAAGCTAATAAAAAAATATAAATGTCCCTTTTGATGAGTTAAAGTGGTATTTTCATAATTAATTTTTGTAATTTTAAAGAAAGTATATTTTTAATTATAGTTTTCCTGTAATCTATACATGACATTTTTCTTTAAAATTACTGTTAGTCTCAATGGCTATCAACGAAGTTATCACATCTCAATTTTTTATTACAATAGGAATAAAGAATTTTAAATTTTAAAAAAATCAGATATTAAGTATAAAAGACTAGAAATACAATTTTATGAAAATATAAGAATAAAAAACATTTTAACCTAAAATGATTTGTGACCCGTTATTTTTCTGCACTCTAGGCGCTGGTGAATGGAAAATTGAGTAAAAGTCATTCTTTTAAGTTTGATGTACAAAATTAATGTATCAACTGACAAAATTTGTGTAGTATGATAGGTATTGTTAATATTATGATCTAATCAGAACTGAAGTTTCGTTTGGGTCAAACATTAATGTTGTACCTAAATTCTATCCTACATGTACAATAGTTTACCCTTACACAATTGGATTTTTTATGAACCAAAAAAGTGTCTTAAGAAAACAATAAAATGGATGCTCTGTGGGAATAATATGTTTTTCCATTGGTTTGATACAAGTCCATGGCTTAATATGAGTTACAGGGACTAGGATTGTTGACACTATCAGCTATGCTTCCTTCTCTCATCAATTCTGAGTGCCAAGATGGCAATAAATTAAAATCATGCTCTCCTCGGTTGCAAGTAACCTTGTTCTTTATCTCACTTTATTTGGTCGCAATTGGACAAGGTGGACATAAGCCCTGTGTTCAGGCTTTTGGAGCTGACCAATTCGATGAACGTCATCCACAGGAGTACAAAGCTAGAAGCTCTTTCTTTAATTGGTGGTATTTTACTATGTGTGCAGGTTGCATGGCAACTCTTTGGATCTTAAACTACATACAGGACAACCTTAGTTGGGTTCTTGGATTCGGAATCCCATGTGTTGCAATGATTATTGCATTGTTTGTTTTCTTGCTTGGAACAATGACCTACAGGTTTAACATTCAGGAGCGTCACAAGAGCCCCTTTCTCAGAATTGGCCGTGTATTTGTTGCAGCTATAAGAAATCGGCAAACTACCCAATCAAGCACGGAACCTGGGGTAATGCTTCCTAGTCAAAGTTCTGATCAATTCAAGTAAGAATCACAATGCTAATTTCTGCTTATTTCTGTGTCTCGTCAATTTTTGTCAATCTTATTAGTGGCAATCTTAAAGCATCAAATATGGTGAAATACGGTATGGTCCCACTTGAGTTTTGCTTTAACGTTTTAGGCAAGTTCCTTTGCAGCTTCCTCAACAAAGCATTATTAGCGCCAGAGGATTCGAAAGAAGAGGAGAGTTGTGGGTGTAGCCTTAGTGAGGTGGAAGAAGCAAAAGCAGTGCTAAGGCTGGTTCCTATATGGGCTACAAATCTGGTTTATGCTATCGTGTTTGCTCAAGTTCCTACCTTCTTTACCAAACAAGGGAGTACTATGGAGAGAACAGTATTTCCCGGTTTTGACATACCCGCTGCTTCTCTTCAAACGCTTAACACTCTGGCCATTGTTCTCTTCAGTCCCATCTATGACCGCCTATTTGTGCCACTGGCAAGATCTATCACTGGGAAACCCTCAGGCATCACAATGCTGCAAAGAATTGGGACTGGAATTTTTATATCCATATTTACTGTAGTATTTGCTGCCCTTGCTGAGATGAAAAGATTAAAAACAGCACAAGAGTCTGGTGTTGCTGATGAACCTAATGCAACTGTTCCAATGAGTATATGGTGGTTGATTCCCCAATATTTCTTGTTCGGAGTTTCTGAAGTTTTTACCATGGTTGGTCTGCAGGAATTTTTCTATGATCAGGTTCCAAATGAATTAAGAAGCATGGGTCTTGCTCTCTACTTGTGTATCTTTGGTGTAGGGAGCTTTCTAAGTGGCTTGCTCATTTCTGTGATAGAAGAATTGACTGGCAAAGATGGACATGACAGTTGGTTTGCTAATAATCTCAATAAGGCGCATCTTGATTACTTTTACTGGTTACTTGCTGGACTCAGTGTGATTGGATTGGCTCTCTTCGTTTGCTTTGCCAAATCTTACGTATATAATCACAAAGGGAACAGATGAGGATAGTCCTTAACTAATCAGCTTTTTTTACTCTCATATTTTTCCAAATATATGTGCGATGTTCGTAAAGATGGATGTAGATAACAGAATATCAAAAGCTTCAAATATTTTATCCAAATGTATACTGACAAAGGAAAAGATGGTAAGGAATAAGGTATCGTAGATAAGTTAGTGAAAAAACAAGATACGGTGTGTTTTAAAAGTTATAGTATTTATATTTTGATATTTTAAATATTTTATAGGTTAAGGATATTAAATTATTATATATTTAAAATAGATTTTTTGAAGTAATTTAAACAATTTATAATGAGTTTTTTTATTTACATGAAATGCAACTTTATTTCTTCAAATTTACTATTATTTACCTGTTTTAAGTTTTTTTATTTTGTTAGTTAGTTTGACACAATGATTTCATGATTGTGGTTGAAGTTTAAGGTTAAAAGATTGAAAGGAATACTAAAGTCAAGAAATCAAATAAAATCAAGTAATCCGCGTTTAGAATAATGTATGAGAGCTTTGTCCAATTCCTTCTTATCTTACTTGAATGTTACTTGTAACTCTTGATTTCCCCTCTTAAATAGCATTCTAACCTATTTTTTAAATTTAACAACTCAAATAATCATACTTTTTTTTGTATTGTTACACTGAATTGTGATATTTGTAAGTGAAAATAATTAAATTTAAAAACTAATAATTGTTTCAATTTTATTAACAATGAACAACTTGGCTAAATCAGAATAGAAGTGATGATCAAAGAAATGTAGTTAAACGTTAAAAAATACAGCAAAATTATTATGATAAAAAATCATCATACAAATTTTATCAACTTTCGCTTAAGCGATCTATTTTTGCTTAAGCAAAAAATTGTAGGAAAACTTTTATTTGCACAATTTGCTTAAAACTATATAAAAGTCGCTTAAACGACTATGTACCCGCTTAAGCCAATATTACATTCACTTAAGCGATATATTATTTTAAAACAATATTTATTTATTTTAACATTTTTCCATAAATCTTTTACAATCAACATATAAGACTTAAATTCAAATTATTTTTTAGAAAAGATGCAAACATGTCATAAGGTATAATAACGTTTTATGTTGTTAATTTATAAGTCCGGGATATTATTTAATTGAATTTTCCTTTTAATTTTTCATGTTTCCTATGTCATATTGATTGTTAAATGGTTAATCATCTTACTTATAATAGTTAGGCATGGTTTAAATTTTGCAATAAGTGTTCAAAAATTAGTAATATATGAATAAATATATGTAGAATAACATGAACAATGAGCAACAAATAGGTCTTTCCCAAAGTAATTGCATCAACAAAGGTATCATTAAAGTCACTTGAATAGTAATGCAATTTTTTAACTTGAATTTAAGTTTAATTTGTTGAAGTGTTGTTAGCTTTTGTTTTAGGAATCGGAAGAAATTTTATTAGAATTAGAAGATAAAGATGATTCTAATTTTGAAGATGGAGATGAGGCTAAAGTTCAGGAAACTTTTGCACTAATGATGTAAATAACAATTATATAAAAGATAAATTGGCAAAAAGAGATGACAATGATGTGGTAATTAACGTTAATAGCTTAGAATACTTTCTTGGCATGAATCTTAAAAACTTTAACCTTACCAAATAAAAAATGTTCATTCTATAAGTTTAGAGATGGCGTACTTTCCTTATTTTATAATAGTATGCAAGACTACATGGTTTTGTTGTAAGGAAATAAACAATCCTTTGAAACAGTAAATATAAAATTCTATAGCAAACATTCGTTTGTTATAGGCAATGATTTCATGTGAAGACTTCAACTAATGAATTTGTGAGTTTCAAAGTAGATTTTTAACGATGTGTGGTTGCAAATTCTATATATAACATCTATTCTAGTTGGTGGTTACTCACATTTTTTATTACCATAATCATGAACTACTAGATGAATAGTTTTGTGGAATAATTCCAACATATTGGAAATTGAGCTAGTCAAATATAATACAGGTAAAACAACTTCAAGAAGGTTAGTATAGTGCTCACCTTATATATGGTTCCTTTGCTATTCAATCACGAGGATATGAAAAAATAGGCTTTAGTAACAAAGATATAATCATGTTAAAAGGAAAAAAAAAAAAAAAAAAAGAGAATTGGTTGTATTTGTGCTTTACAATATCTTAATGAGTTGAGATCGATTGATCCACTAATATTTTGACATCACACAATAGATGAGGAAGTTAGATTGAAATATTTGTTTTGGAGGGGTGACTTTAGTTGGATGGATTATAAATTTTTGGTGAAGTTATGACATTTGATGCAATATATGAAAAGAAGAAGTATTTTTGACACCACAATGTTTACTATTATAGTTATAGGAGATGAAACTAAAGAAACTTATGTGTGACTGATAAAAATAATTCATGAAAGTAATAGAAAATAAGGCACATGTATGAATTATTATTGATGGTGATGGAGGAATAAGAAGTGTCATAAAGAGGGTGTGGCCCAATGTGTATGATAGATTGTGTGCTTCGTAATGCAACTGCAAATGTCTGAATTCTCACATTTACTACTAAATTTAAGAAATGCATGTTATTTGATTAGGATATGGATAAGTTTCAACATAAGTGGAGTGAAATTGTGGATAAGTTTCATATGTCATACATGTGTTAATTTTGTTGCTTCTTGATGCAAGAGTTTGGAATCCCAAATTAAAAGGGTTTGTAATTTCACCTTTACACTCTTTATGTTCATTTTTAGTTTAACCTTAATCTTAGTTTTCTTATAATCGTCAATCACTCATAATAAAACTACTAATATCCAATGATCATGTAATGTTGATATTATTTTTCCTAAATTATTATGCCTAATGGTCATATAAGGCAAAAATATACAAAAAAACATAAAAAGCCTATGAGTTTGGTACTTTAATAATCGATTGAAACAGAAAAATTAAGTTTGATCCACTTAATTCTTTGTCTTGTTTTATCTTATAATTCCACTAACTACATGTAATATGGTCGCTTACAATGCAATTAATTATGAGATGTTAAGAATGATTAATTTCTAACATAAATACATACACTAGAGCAAAAATCAATCATAAAAAGAAATCACAATTGTTATTAAACATAAAGATCACATAAAGTATGTTAAGAATTCACTCTAACTCTAACTATGAATTTATCTATTCATAATGAAATCAGAAGGAAAATAATTGTAAATAAATTCATATTCATTTGAAAAGAAAAACACAAATTAAAGGAATCTCGTGGAAAAGAGCTAAGAATAGTTCTTATTCCCAAAAAGCTCTCTTGGTCACTTGTTCAGACTCTGAAAATGTATCATTGGTCTTTATCAATGATCTTCACTCCCTAAACAGCTCTGAAAATAGTTAAGAGTTAGTTAAGAAATATGTTGTTTAGTCGTCACTGTCCTTAAATAAGGTTCTTTAACCCTTGAAATTTTTTTAAATAGTTATATCCTGACAGAAATATGATCATGCATGTCACAAAGCACTCTCAAACTAGTTGTTAAGTAAAGTCATGCTTCTTGTTGTGCTTGACCTTGCTTTCTACCAAATTACAAACAAAGTGCTTCCATAATGTGTAGATGATCGATTTATGCTAAACTTCAACAATTATTAAATAAATTAGTGCAAAATTTTCATCAAATAAGGGTCAATAATATAAAAATAAATTATAAAAATATATCAAAATATAAAATTATTAAATAGGTATGTTGTGAGTTATGAATATAACATGGCTAATTTTGGCACTAAATATCACATTAAGATTTTGAGGATGACATGTCTGACTTATTTAATTGTTTTACTTTCTATTATATTTACCAATGATTAATTATATATATATATATATATATATATATATATATATATATAAAATTATACTTATTGAAATGGTATCAATGTAATATGGACTAATAGGCCAAAGTGAATGTTGCATTGTCATAATTAATCAAAAGAATATCTTGTAATAGTAAATTGGACCTTTTCATCTTCTTACAGAGGTAAGAATTAAACTACACAACTGATGTCTGTTCTTATAGACTACAATAGAAAGAACAAAGGAAAAAGGTAGGAATTAAACGACAAGAGTAGGAATAACTTTTTATAGAAGCAGTAATTAAACTACAATAATGGAGATTGTGTGTACAGAACCATAGAGTTTAGAATGTGATTTTTGATTATTAATTATGGATGTATTTATTTTTGGGGGAATCTTTTAGCATTTATGTGTATGCACTACACAGTATAAAATATTTATATTGTATCTATAATCTTCGGTGAAACAACTATCTTGTTATCTGGTAGCCTATTGTAGTTTGTCCCCGTGCCTCTGGTAGGATTTATACACTCAAAAATGAGCTATGTATGGTGGAGCAGTCAAAAGTAAAATCTAAAGCACCATTACTGCCATCCATGTTTTTTTATTTTTTCTTTATGCTTTAATTTTTATGAATCATCTTCAACTAAATTTGCAAATAGTTTTGAATGGCTCAGCCATCAATATTTCTAGATATAAATTTTATCTTGTTTTGTTTCTCCTTTAGAATGTGTTAATTTGTTTATCATTGCAAGGTTCTCTTGTACGAGGATAATGAGATGGCATCTTGTTCTTAAATTATTTGATTGAAGCTTTCCAATGCTATCGGATATCAACTCAAATTTCTCTGGTTATTTGACAAACTATGGAAGCATGTATATTGACCCATTTAATGCCCCATTCTTAAGTTTTGTTATTGTTTTTGGAACTTACTTTGTATAAATATAAATTGTTTTTATATTTTGTGTTTCTAATGATTTAGCTATTTAATTTGCAGAGTCCAAGTTCTCCAAGCAAATGGAGGTAATTAAGACATGATAATAGGATCTTGTGATCGTCTTCTCCTCTCATCATTTTATTTTTTCTCTCTTTTGCTCTTTCAATAACATGTCTCCTGTTAATCTTTTGCAATATTAAAGTATGACTTTGTACTTTTATATAACTTTTGTTCTTCACATGCGTTCTACAGGAACTAGATCTGCTTGTATAAATGCTGCAACTTTGGCCCTTGCTAATGGGATCCCTCTGAGTGACCTTGTAACTTGTTGTAGTGATAGATACTTTAACAGTCCCCATCTACTTGTTATATATTTGTTTTTACTCAAATATTAGCTGCCTAAATATAAGAGAGGTGTATGACTTGTGTGATGATGTTAGGGATTGAATTCCAGATGGGATAAAAGTGTATAAAAGAAGAAAATTCAGAGGCAACTTGGAAAACAATAAATTGGGAGAGGGGTATGAACTAGGTGGGCCCAATCCTAACTAACTATGAAGACATGTGTGTTCGTGTCATGCTGAGGGGTGGGGCAAGAGAATGATTAGCAAACATTCTGTTACGAGAAAAAGAGTATAATTGTTCGCTAGTGAAAAAGAGGAGGAGGGATTTTTTTAAATTAGGACTTGGAGTGTAGGAGCTGCTTAGTGCTCCATTTTTACCATTCTTATTACTGCATTTGTGTCTTCCTGATTTCCTTAATACCAAACATTTTTCTTGCTGTTTCTTGGATTATTTCTATCATTTTGGCATCAGAGCTCCTTTTTTTGGAAGCTATGGGCGTTCAATTTCGCTAAAGTTGCCAATGGAGAAACGAGTGGAAGAGCTGGAGAGGAAGTTTGATGAGATGTTGCATCTATTGAAGGAATCACGTCGAGCTCGTTCACGAGGTCGATCGCCACATCTCGGAGGAACCATCAAGTGGAGCTGAGAGATCGATAGAATAGGAGTTCTATATGAGATGAGGGAACGAGCTCGACCGCCACATCTACAAAGGAACCATCAAGTGGAGCTGAGATACCGATGGAATGAGGGTTCTAGATGAGATGAGGGGTCATACCACTGCCCTTCTCTTCGTTGTAGTGAGCTTCGTGATTCGAGGTCTTGGTACCGCGATGATCAAGGCTCCTCCCACTCCTACGGTGGTCACTCGCACCATTAGGGTGGCCCTTCTTAGGGTAGTCGATTATCAAACTCATGTCGTGACAGCCTCACCGCCAGTGACATGACCTGGATAAGAAGATGGAACTCCCTTTTTTTTTCAATGAAGATGCATTAGGCTGGCTGGTGAAAATTGAAAGGTATTTTGCTATTAACAGCATCGAGGGAGATGAGAGAATGGAGGTTATGATCTTAGCATTGGAAGACAAGGCGCTGAATTGGTTCTAAGTGTGGGAGAAACAAACTCCACGTTCGTCATGGAGACAATTTAAAGATGGTGTGCTACGGAGGTTCCAACCAGGGGTAGTGAAGGACCCCTATGGGTCCTTGTTGGGATTAAAGCAATTGGGCTCGATCATGAACTATATTGAAGAATTTGAAAAAGTCTTTAGGCCCATGAAGCATATGGACCGAGAGATCATGAAAAACATCTTCGTTAATGGGCTGAAAAGGGGACTGAGAGCAGAAGTCAAGAGCTTAGATTTAGGCTCCATAGCTGAGGTTAAAGATAGGGCTCTCATGTTAGAAGAGAGGAACAGAGAATAGAAAGCAGGAGAGAATCCATTGACATTTTGGAAAATGTTATGCAACTGGCTATTGAAGGATGCTAATTAACTTTACTTTTTAATCGGCATATATACTTTACTTTACTTGCTAATTAACTTTACTTTTAAATTTTGTAAACTACCTTTAACTAAATATTAAGACAGTCTCTCTTAAGTTTCCCATATTCTCCTCAATGTCAAACTGCCAACTGTTGGGCCTTGGCTTTTATATAACATAACATGATTTTAATTTTAAAAATAAATAATTGAGAAAAATATCTTTTGGTCAACGACAATAATTTTAGAAATACAGTCCTGATTAGTTTTGGATAGATTGTAGCTTCATAAAGCCAATATCTATGAACCAAATTGTGAATGCTCATTCACAAAAGAAGGCTATTACTAATTACTTTCGATTTTTATTTTATTTTAAACAAGTATGTTTGTATTTGAAAAAATATATGAAGCGTAAAACATCATCGGTAACGTAGCATAGTTTTTTTCACTAAGAAAAAAATATTTTAGTATTCGAAATAATCAATTGTATACAATAAGTTTGGAAGT